TGTCTGTGGCCGACGCAGCCGGTGCCTCCACCAGCACTGCTGCTCAGGATGCCACCAGTTCCTTCCCCGGCTCTGTTACCCGCGATGCAGCCAGTTTCCTCACTGGCTCTGCTGCTCCAGGCGCTGCCGGTTCCTTCACCGGCTCTGCTGCTTGCAATGTTGTCAATTTCCCCATGGGCTTTGCTGCCCCAGATGCCCCCGGTCCCTCCTTTGGCTCTATTGCCTGGAACGCAGTCAGTTTCTCCTCCGGCTCTGCTGCTCCTGACGCCGCCGGTTCCTCCACCGGCTCTCCTGCCTACAATACGGCCGGCTCCCTCACCGGTGCTGCCGACAGTGTTGGAGCTGGTCCCACCATCAACACTACTGCCGGTTGTGTTGCCAGCTCTCTCAGATCCTGCCCTGGCTCCGCCCCTTGCTCTCGCTGCGGCCGAGAGCGGCGGCTGATCTCCTCCACGCTGGAGTTTCCTCCCGTGGTCTCTCCTCCTCAACCGCCCCGCTGCCTTGGCGGGGCTGCTTTTTGTTTCTTCCGGGAGGAGTCCTCCACCCCCGCTGCTCTGCCACAGCCAGATAAACGCCCGGCTGATTACCCGCGCTGGCGTCCTTGGCGTACATGCCTCCCCCGGCTCTTCCGGACCTGCAGGAGGTGAGTAGGACTCCTTGCTGCCCCGGGGTTCCTTTGGCGTCCCAGCTCCCCTGGGACACAACCCCCACCTCAAGATGCCTTGGGGCGCTTCTATTTTACCTCTCCGAGTCATACCTGGTGGGTTGGCGAGCTTCTCCGTCTGGTGCTTCCTCCATTCGCCTGAACTTTCACTGTCGCACCTAGACATGAAATCCGCCACTGTGTTCAACTTTCCTGGTCTGTACACAATCTGAAATTTATAGGGCTGCAGGGCCAACGCCCATCGGGTGATTTGGGCATTATCTGTCCTAGCGGTGCTTAGCCACCTGAGGGGGGCATGATCTGTTATTAACTTAAACTCTCAGCCCATTAAATAGTATCTGAAGTGGTCCACGGCCCACCGGATGGACAGACATTCACGCTCCATTGTGGCATACCTTTTTTCTGCCGACGACAGCTTGCGGCTGGCGTACGCTATCGGCCTCTCGACTCCCTCCTCCTCCTGGGTGAGGACGGCCCCTGCTGCTGTCTCGGATGAGTCAGTCTGCAAAATGAAAGTTTTCTTAAAATTAGGGGTATGCATTATTACATCTTCACAGAGTGCCTGTTTTAATCTTCCGAAGCTCTGTTCCATCTCCTTTGTCCACTTCACCGTCCCATTCCTCCTCCCCTTCAATGCCTCCATTAAGGGGGCTGTCAGCTCCAAAAAGTGCGGCACAAATCTCCGGTAGTAGTTGGTCAGCCCTAAAAATGATCGTAGCTGACGACAATTCTGGGGGGCTGGAAAATTTCGTACCGTCTCCACTTTGTCGGCCAAGGGTCTAATAGTGCCCCTGCCCACCAGGAACCCTAAATACCTAGTTTCCCTTTTGGCCAAGGCTCATTTTTGCGGGTTAGCTGTGAGGCCGGCCTGTCTTAGCTCTGATAGTATAGCCCTGATAGCCTGCTTATGGTGTGTCCATGTGGGTGAGTATATAATGATGTCGTCAATGTAGGCTGCCGCGTACCCAGCGTGGGGGGCCAGTAGCCGATCCATTAACCGTTGGAACGTTGCTGCTGCTCCATGCCTCCCAAATGCCATCCTCACAAACTCGTAGAGACCCCAGGGCATGCCGAAGGCCGTCTTTGGCTGATCTGCTGGGGCCACCAGGATTTGCCAGTACCCCTTGGCAAGATCCAGAGTCAAGATATATTGGGCTTCTCCAATCCTTTCTATCAGCTCGTCTACTTGCGGCATGGGAAATGCGTTAAAGACCACTAGCGCGTTCAATCTTCTGTAGTCGACGCACAGCCTCAGCGACCCATCAGGCTTGCGTAGGGGAACCAGCGGGCTCCTCCAAGGGCTCCAGGACGGTCTTACCACTCCTAGCCTTAACATGGAGCTCACCTCCTCCCGTACGGCTTGTAGCAAGTGATGAGGAATGGGCCTCCACTTTTCCCTGACTATGGCCCCCAGCGGAGTCTTAGTAGTATGGACCGTGCCCCGGACCCATCCTGGCTCTTTACGGAAAACATCCTGGAATTTGCGTATTACCTTCCGCATCTCTTTTTTCTGTGGCTCGGACAAGTCCTCCCCCACTCCTATTATCTGTTCTATCCCTTCAGGGGGTGCCTCACCTGGTTCTGACCCTTGGGGCCCCAAATCCTCTTCGTCATTCTCCACGAAGGTAACCCAGCCCGCTGGCTCTTTCCATTCCAGCAGCAGGTTCACATGAAAGATCTGCTTCTCTCGAAGGTGGCCGGGCCGGTGAACTTCGTAGTCTATGGGCCCGACCCGCCGGAGAATCTCAAAGGGGCCCTGCCATTGCGTCAGGAACTTGCTCGTGGAAGTAGGGAGCAGTACTAGCACTTGTTGCCCCGGTTCGAAAACTCGCTCCTTAGTGCTACCGTCGTATTTTTCCTTCTGTCGAGCCTGAGCTTCTTTCAAATTTTCGCGAGCTATATCCTGGGCTGTTTTTATCCTTTGCTGGAACGCTTGGCGATACCCTGCCAGGTTTTGCAGCACCCCACTATCCTGTTCCCACTCCTCCCGTAGGACCTGTAACCATCTTCAGGGACGATGCCCCAGAACCAGCTCGAAGGGGGAAAATTTCAAGGAATCTTGCAGGGTATCCCTAAGAGTGAATAACACCAACGGCAAAAGTAGATCCCATTTCCGAGGATCCCCTTGAATGCACCGTCTCAATACCCTCTTAATGGTACCATTTAGGCGCTCTACCAACCCATTG